TAATATGTGTCGTTCATAAGTCGAGCCTTATGGAATTCTTAAGTTCATTTGCCTCAGTGTAGTAAATGGTTGCGAGGATAAGTTTATTTGTCTACATCACGGTTTCGCCAGAGCAAGCACGTCGAAATTTAATCCTGTACGCTCGAAACGAAAATCCCGGTCTATCCGCTCCTGGCAGTTTTCAATCAAATTCCTGGGCAGGTGGACCGGAAGAGTGCCCCGGAAGAATGTAAAATCAAAAAGAAGTCGAAAGTCCCCAACAAGTTTCTTATCTGGCAAGAAATCTGCACTTGTGGGCTGAAAAGTGAAACTTGCGCCGGAGCAGCATGATATGGATTGCCTTTTTGGCTGGACTTGGCAAGCCGTGGTACAGCGAAAATGAGGCCACAGTGGTTCCCAAGGAGATGAAGTCGGCCAATACTCCGGAACTAAGGCCAATTGAGTAATACTGGTCAATTGCGAAGTACATACTGAAAAATTTACCGGAAGGATTTCAAGCGGGAATTGAATTTGTCAACCAAACAAGTGGTAGCAACCCCAAGTAACCAAAAGTTCTGATAAAAGGCTATTTATGGCTTACGCAGCTTGGTTGAAGGTGGTCTATAGAATTCTTAGCAGCCTCATTTTTAAGTCGTTATAAGAACTTGAAAGTTCCGGTACCATAATTGAAGTGCATTCTAAGCAGCCTCTGGCGGAACTTGAATGGAACTTTCAGAAAATAAATTAAAATAGGTTTTTTTTTTTGTCCTCTACACCAATAGTTCGCACTTTTATGAAAGTTATTTCTAAAGGCAGGTATTAAATGTGTATTGATTTATCAGCATTAGTAGTAGTAATGGAGCTGTTTGAAGAATTAAACACAGTCCTTCGGCGTGAGAGTCTCAGCACAATCCGCTACGTCATCTGAAATATATTTAAGAGAGCTGTTGTCCCGCCTATTGTTGGAGTTTTCTGAGCCACCTGACTGACTTGAATACGAAACACAACACCTTGATGAATTTTAAATTGGTGTTTGCCCGCATGGTATTCCATCACACTTGTGGCGCACTGGTGAGCAATCGTAGATCGCATGCCCGAATACACGGGTTCGAATTCTGTGATCATTTCATATTTACGTACATTTAATTTTGTTACAAATAAAGACTTGTGCGGATTGCTTCATTTGGCTTGAAAGTTCTGTCGGAACTTTATTTGAACTTTATGGAACTTGAAAGTTCTGTCAGAACTTTATGGAACTTGAATGTTCTGTCAGAACTTTATTCGAACTTTATGGAACTTGAAAGTTTTGTCGGAACTTTATTTGAACTTTATGGAACTTGAAGGTTCGGTCGGAAGTTTATTTGAATTTTATGGAACTTGGAAGTGATTTTAATCGTTGAATGCAGAACTTTTGGTTACTTGGGAAGGCTCGTGCAAAAGATGATGGGTCGTCGCAACAAACATTGAAGACTGAATAAGAGCTTTTTCAGGCAAAAATATGCTTCTTCAGACAAACAATAGCTTATTCAGCTTTTAATCAGCTCAAATTGTTTTTTGGGGTGTACGAAGAAAAAATCGAGTAATAGCTCATGGTAAGAAAGAAGAATGAAATAAAGGTCTTACAACAAGCATAATACCTACTCATGTATAGTTGTTACATTGAATTATGAAAGATAAACCGCATTTTTGAACCCCAACAAGACTTTTGCGACCGGAATTTTTCGTGTTCAACCCGTATATCAACTCAATCTCATATTTGGTCTGGCCAAAGTCCGCGCTCGATTTAAATTTTTGGAATATTGTATGGATAAAAGTCAAAGAGAAAGAGAGAGATAAGGGCTCTGGAATGGCCAAACATGAATCACCCTGACCGGTGAATTTCAATGACAAATCGGGACAAGTATACTTCGCTTTCTTTTCGAATAACAAATAAGATTTTAGACACCTTGTACTGGACTAGGACTTAGGATAAAGTCACTTAGAAGACATGATAATAAACGAATTTCACAAATTTTGAATAAATTTAAGAAAGTATTTTAGAGCAAATTTTCGAGGAAGTTTCATGATGAACAACAACTCAGTTGTAAGGTTTCATAGTCAAATATGTGAAAAATTCCATGACGATTGTTGAAAAGTAAGAGGTTGTATCCAAGACACGACCGTAGATATGACGTAAGATTACGAAAGGTAGTTATGATATCACAGCAAAAGTATAGTAAATATTAAATTGATTTCTTAACTCGTTATCAGTGAACAATTTCGATAGGTTGAAATTCGGAAGCAATTTGAGTAACATTGTAAGTTTTATCGAGGTTTCAAAGCATTCTTCAAGTCCAAATCATGGTTTACAGAACCCTCATAAAACCCGAATTGAATTTTTTTGAGGTACTCTGTCGATGTTCATGAAGCCAAGCCAAGCCAATCCTGGACAATATGTCTTAGATTCAAGCTCTAACTCTTTAGCCATTTGTGGTCCTTAAAAGGACCAATGGGTTGGAAGCTTGAAAGCTAGTAAAGAACAATAGTGTGGAAATTTTTCCTCGATGTTTTTGGAAATGATAGCGGTGTGGAAATGAAATATGTAGGTATTAGGGAAAACACATCAATCACAGAATCTGAGCCTACCGGACGGCACCTACGCTTAAACGTTGTAATGCAAATTTTTAGCCCCTTCTAATAAGGGAATTCGGCAAGGTTTTTTTTTGCACAATACTCTTAATAGGAGGGGCCTAGAATTTGCACCAAATGCATAAAGATTGGTACCGTCTTGCATGCTCAGTGCTTGGTATCAATATTTGGTGACTGTGTTAGGGAAACCACTTTTCCCATCACGGAAACGCCTCGTGTTTTTGATGACAAAATTACGCATTTACGTGCACAAAACGCACGGAATTTTTGTTTTATTCAATAGATAATAAATAAGGATCGTTTTGTCGTGATGGTTAAGTAATGCTGATCTATTAGGGTGTTTAACACGGATAAAGCTGGCGAGCAGTATGTTACTTGGAACTCACAAACAGGCTGCTTTTTCATGATATACACAGTGTGATATTGAATAATCAATTAATTATCTCAACATTTAGTGGCAGACCATTCATAAATTTGGGTAACATCAAAAATTCTATAATTCATATTAAATTTCCTATGCCGATCGAAACAAACGTTATGGCGGCACTACAAGGGTGATTGAGTAAACGAAAGAAACGAATCGTGCGAAGCGGAATGAAAGCCGAGTGAAAAACGAATTGCACCAATACATTCAGGCCTACAATTCCACACCTTCTATAGACCAGGTTGAGCCTTGATAGTTAGCTGCTTGCGGGAACTGACATCCGATTGATGACCTTTTCAAATGTCCAAAACATACTCTTAAACAAATTTATGGTGGTCCTGAAACCCACAGCTACACACGAGGAAACTGATTTCCACCCATAGCGGTGCGGCTTCTTTCTCCTTCTATGGATGCTCATGTGGGCTCTGCAGCTCGCTGCTAGCAGGCTGCCTTTCGTTGTGTACTGGAGAACAATGTTCAACGCCACACGCCGAAAGCACTGCTGCTATTGATGCTGCTGCTGCGGACACCGACGACCGGACACCACCACACACGGTAATTGAATGAGCACCGTTCAGTGATACAGGATCAAATTCGATTTTTAAATCTGTGTGTTTTTCAATAGTGACCTATTGAAAATTTATAAAGTCTTTATTTTATCAGATGGGTATATAAATTTCCAATCGTTTGGCTTGTTTAGAATTAAAATCCATCTACTATTGACAGAGTTATATGTGGTCAAAACCTGACCTCTTTTCGTAATGCGGTCGATTTTGGTTTTTTGAAATTGCACTTCCAATATGTTGCCAAAAGACGTAATCCTACGTCAAAAGGTCCAGGATTTGTGAAAAATACTAAGGGAATAGAATTTTGAGGGTGTGGTAAATTTTCAGAGGAATTCAGAGAAGAACTCCCATAGAATTCTGAGCTAAATGCTGAAGTGAATTACCTGTGAATTCTAAGGAGAGATTTAGCAAATGGAGCGAAGTTTCAGTGAATTCTTAGAGAGAAATAAATTTATATTCAATAAGAATCTGAGGACGAATTTTAAGATTTTTTTTTATTATTCTGTAGAAAATTCTTGGATTGGTGTGTTCAAGGTATTCCCAGTGAAAATCTCTAATTTATTATAAGAGAATTCAGAAAAGAACGTTGAGAAGGGAACTGATTTTCAGGGAAATGTTTGAAAGCAATCCATTAAAATTCAGTACAGAGTTTTGAGCGAATTTGTAACGTAGGTAAACAAATTTGATGAACGTAAAACCAGATTCATGATCTTTACAAAATGCTGCTTGAGACTGCTGCTGTTCAATCTCATTCGGTTTATCCTTAATTTAAATGCATACAGCACAATCGATAAATATCCTAAATTCCTGGAAAAACGGAAGAACTGGGAAATTACTAATCATTTTCACTTGCATAATTCCTATTTAGTGTAAAACGCTTATAAAATTGCGCTTTTACGTTAAATCATGTCGGTGTCATTCCTTAATTCATGAGGAATAACTGCACAGAAGACACCAAGACACGATACAACGTCAAAGCGATTCCGCACTTTGGAGGAGTCCAGTTTCAAATGCAAAATACAATAAGAAAAATCAATTCAATTTTTCACGTGGAAAAGGTTTGTTGTAAAACTAAAATTTGAGAAATAAAAATTGTCTAATTTATAAAATAATTTGCCATAACATTACATTTTACAGTTTTACATTTGATTGCAATATTTTCACACAGTAGAACACAATTCGATAATCTTAACTAGAACTTAGCCTAGGATCTTAAATTACCCAACACCTGTCATCTGAACCAACCTGGTCGCAGTCCCAATCCCCGCAAGCGTAGAACTTTCGTCGACAACAACAACAATCATCTCCACAGAGCAATCACAACGATTGCAGCAACAGGGCTATCCGCAGTACCCATTTGAAATGTAAGACAATTAGAATAGAAAGGAAAAATGTGTACTCACCATCGGATCCCTCGGCATAGGACCCCTCCGATGGAATTTTAATTTCGATGGGCTCATGCAGCGCCACTCCTCCTTCCGCTGACGATGAAGCCGATGTTGACGACGTTGAAGCCGTTCCGTTGCTGCTGGTGGTCGTCGTTGCTACTCCCAGTTCTTGTAGGTGAACCACGTCAGCACCACCACCACCAATGTTTCCAGCACTGGGTGAAGCCGAACTGCACGAGGACGACGGATGCAGATCGATCAGTGCGGCTGCAGCCGCTGCCACCGTGTCGGACATCAGTCCGGTGGATGTTCCTGGTTCGGAATCCAGAATGGAAACAGCAGCAGCAGCGGCGTCAAACGGGGATGACTCTTCCGTGTTGATGACGATGGTAGTGGTCGTAGTCGTCGTTCCGGAGGAAGTCGGAGCATTGCCCGATGAGCACGATGTTGATTGAACGAGGTGATGTTGATGTTGGTGGAGTTGGGCTTGCTGCTGCTGCTGTTGTTGTATGGTGTGATGCTGTATGGGGCGAACCTCTACCGGACTAGTTGTGGTGGTGGTACTGATTAGGGGCTGGTTGGTGATGATGATTTTGGTTGAATGGATTGGTTGGGTCGATGTCATGACCTGTTGATGGTGCTGCTGCTGCTGCTGCTGTTGTTGTTGTTGTTGATGGTGATGGTGTTGGTGGAAAGAAGGTTGTTGATGATGATGCTGCTGCTGCTGATGGACCAACTCGTACAGGGAAGAGGATGCGTCCTGGACGGTTGGTGTTGTTGTTATCAGGAGATTTCCGTTAAGATGGGTTGCACCACCCCCGCCGGATATGGCGCTGCCACCCCCGCCACCCCCTCCGCCATTGATGTTAGCGTAGATGATGTTGGTCGGTTTGGTGGAAGAACTGGCCGTCGATGAGGCTTCTTCGTGCATGGTTGCTTCACTTATCTTCTTACTATAGGTTCACAATTTCACAGAATCTTCTTCGTAGCTTCACGGGTTAACGGTAAATAATTCTACTGGCTTTTTTTTTACTTTCACTGCTTCGATTTGAACACTTTGCTCTACGTTATGTTGTAGGGGGGAGATTTTTCAAAATTTCGCTACGGATTTGGGTTGAACACTTTGGATCTTTGTACTAACGATTCGAGTACGCACGCGAGACACTTCTTAGTTAGCCCGATTCCATCAGGTAGCACTTGACTGAATGACAACGAGCAGCGCTGGCCAATGCCAGTGAGGATGCACTCCGAAAACCACCCAGATTGTCGGTCACCCGTTTTACACGGTCACACACAGACACATATAAGCACAAACGCTGGATGGATGCATCCACTACTAGCTGGAATGCAGGTCGTTCCCGAAATATGCGCACAGGAGAGCCTCTGACTTCCCGGGATGCAACAGGAACAGATGCAGCAGCAGCAGCAAAACGATGACAAGTTCAGATTGCAATATATAGTTCAAGGTCGGAAAAAGGAGCACAAGTGCAACCGATTGATGGTACATACACCGAAAATAGCTTGGGAAATTTTACACCAGTAGCTTCGAGGTCCACTTGTGTTGGTCCGGGCGAGGTGGGGTGGCCGATGTATAGGGGGCGACTTTCCGGGATATGGGGGTGGTGTCAAAAACGCTACTCGATGTCACTCGACTGCTGGGTTGCAGCAGCGGCAGCTGTAGCACTTTCGGGCCATCATCGTCTTCGTTGCACATGCACGCTAACTAACACTGTGACAATGGAACAGAAGGTGGCGCCTCCATCACTCTGGAGTCATGGCCACAGTCACGAGAAAATAGAAATAGCACACAATTTGCTCTATGAGCCGGAAATTTCAGCACAATTTCCGAATGGCGATACACTCGCGCTGCTGCATATACAAACGACGGACAGTGGCAGCAGCAGGAAGCAAAAATTCGCGAATAAAATAAAAAATATACACTCGTTACGCACACTACCGAAGGCCCAATTCTATAAATTCGCAATAATAATCGCGAATTTCATTCTTGCTGGTCGTATTCTTCGCTTCTTACACGCGCACTTATACATACGCAAACGGGTTCCCCTTCGATTCACTTTTACAACACTGTGTTTGTATTTCTTCTAATTCGAAACCTGCAAAAAGTTGCAAAAGGAAAAGCAAAAAATTGCCTACTTATTCCAGAACTTGAAATTTGAACACGCCTGTCAATCCGTCTGCAATCGAATCTTCCGGCAATCGTCGATACCAGTAACCGTCACTTTCACTATCATCCCGCATAGGGAACGCGCCAATCCCGGGCCTATTTACACTGAATTTTCGGGAATAATCAAAACCTCACTCAAATATAGGTCTTTAGGCCACTTACACTCGTTCTTAATTGTGCCTTTTTTCCTTCACTCTCACTGCACAAAACTCGAGAGGCAGACAGACCGACAGACACATCCGCACACACGCACGCACACACTCACATTCCCCTGGATGCCTATAGTGGCGTTCCCCCCACAACCACCACACGAGTAGAAGGTTTTTATCACAAGTTCACGTCCAAACACAGTCCTCTGCTTAGAAGCGGCTTAGAACTCTACTGCACACACAAGCGCGCGCTCTGTGACGAACCAACACATGCTCACCGACCCACCGACCGATCGACGACGACGACGACGACTACGACGATGGAACCCCCCAAAATATTCGCTCTCGCTTACTTCTCGGTTACATCAACTGACATTGAATTCATAATCAACCTTCACCCTTCACGCGTATCGTTCACTTCCTACAAGTTACCTCGAAAACGTAACAAAACACGTGAAACCACTAGCAATCTACTAAATAGTCACCCTTCTTCCCTAACACCGTAATGAACCACACTCACTTGGTAACACAGAATCAAAACATTTCACGTCGCTCTAAGCACAGCAGCCCTACATTACCTATTTACGACAACGGCGTTGGGATGTAAACATTCTCACTTTCTTCTGGCGAACGGCTTGAATCGGTACTGCCGGGATAGAACTATACACATCGCTGCTCAGAACACGAGCCGCCCACCAATACCACCGAACACGCCGAGTCAGCCGCCGAATCATATTCACGGCCAACCTGCTTCCCCACCCAACACCCCACCCCTCGCCAAACCTCACCGGAACCCGTTCCCAACAGACCATTTTTATTTGCGTTGTGAGCTCCCCGACTCATCGCGCGCATCCATATCTCTAGAAGAGGAGGAGGAGGAGGAAACCCCTCTTTTGCTTGGTTTTGTGTTTTCTGTTTTTGATTGTTGCTGCTGTTGTCGGTGCTGACTGCCGTTTTGGTTCCGATTCTTCAATGCTGCTTATGTTTTGTGACGACGGAACTGATCGCTTTACGTTGCTGTTGGAGTCATCTACTGCGATGCGAATTAGGCTGGGTTAAATGGGAGATGATGGTTCTTTAGGAGATATTACTTAATGTTTTGCTTGAGGGGAAGATTACAAGCATTTTTTTTATCTGTCCCGTTTTGATTTTTTCTAAAAATATTGGAAAAGATATTAAAAATCCAAGAGAATCAGTCTGTTGACGTAGGACAACGTCTTTGATTTCTATATGGGGGTACACTTTGTGAAAACTGAAAAAAACCTAAGCTGCCCTAATAACTCAGTATTGCAAAGAGAACTAATGGTCTTCTGTTCAGTGAGCAAAACCAGTCACCACTAGGTCACCAAGTCCCTCAAATATTAAATCACTGTGATTGACAATAATCCAAGCCCAGCATAAAGCTGTTCAAATGAACTGAACTCTCTGGAAGGATTTAATTGTGGGCTATAGAGTATCCCAGAAAATATAAGCACACTTTCAACTCACCGTCATTTCTACCACGCAGAAGTTTCTCAGCTGTTCACCGATTTGCGTTGATGTTAACTTATTGTTCAACAAGTTTGTGTGCGCAAGGTGAATTTTGTTTTACAAATCATCAACATCCGAGGCATTTCCCCATAAAATCACAAACAGATCGTGCACAAATGGTGCACTATTTCCAACCTATCAGTAAGGAAGTTGGCGAAAATGGAGGAAGTAAGTATCGGAGTAGTCCAAACCACCATACGGAAGTTCGATGAAGAAGTTACTGAACCGACAACTGGACCGGAAGATCACCCAAGCTTTCGTCAGTAAGAAAAGTGCCTCTGTTCGAGATTCGGCCAACAATCTGAGAACATCGAAGAGTAACGTCCAACAAGCCGCATCCGTCAAACCGAGGGCGTGTGTTATCATGGACGATGAAAAATACGTCAAATTTGACTAAACAAGACGCTTCCGGGAGACCAATACTTCACAGTCCGTGATGGTTAGCAAGTTAACGATGCCGATAAGTCAGTTTTTACCGAAAATTTTAGTATGAAGGCCGTGGTTTGGCAAGAGTAATGTGAGTGTGGCAAGTTGTCAAAGCCATTTGTGATGAAGGATGAACACTGAAATTTACGTTTGGGAGTGTTTGAATCGGCGTATGCGGCCCATGAGCCGTCAACATGATGGCCAGTACTGGTGTCAATGCACCGCTAGAAAGACATGGTAGCTTGGTACAAAGCAAACAATGTGCAATACGTGAAAAAAGAGATGAATCTCCGAATTGTTCGGAGGGCTGACTAATCGAAACTTTTTGGGCCCTTTCCAAGGGATATCTACGGAAACACTTTAAGGCCGCGAATTCAATCGAAGAGTTTGAAAAAGAGTGGACAAAAGTGGCAAAAATTTTCGCCGAGGAATCTGTACTGAAACTCATAGCAACGTCAGATCAAAGGTTCGCTCCTTGGCATATGATTAAAGGAACTGCTGATTATTTTCAGTCAATTGAAAGGGAATACTACAGAAAACAAATAGGGGAAATGGCTCTAATGTTGACCTATGGATCTAAGGTTGGGCCCATCGCTAAAAATCTGCTATTTATCAATTTTATCTAGACGAACGCGTCATTGGGACGATACGAATGGATATTGTTGGTCGCTATTGTAAATTTAGTCGATTGCTGAATTTATGTATGAGCCCAAATAAGGGGCATTTATGCCGACATTACATCCATTTCCCCTATGAAATAAAAAAATGAGTTCATTAACATAGCGATGTTTTATTCCAATAATAAACTGTGCTACACACCAACTGGGACACTCTATAACTGTCCGAAAATTGGTGCATAGTTGTATCATCATGCTGAAATTGTGGAAAAGACATACCGCTCTTGTTTCTTCTTAAGGTGTTTCGCTGCTTATTCTCGTAACCACTTCGAAGATTTAAGTGCACAAATATCAGCTTCTACGACACGTACACCAATAAATTTTTCAACGATATAAAACACATTTTGAAATTCCTTGATGTTTCAATATATGCAGACGACATGAAACTTTTCATGGAGATAAACAAAGCATCTGACATTCAAGCATTCCAGCATAAAGTAAACGTTTTAACACCTGGAGTAAGAAAAACATGTTAGTGGCGATGATGGTGTAGTGGTAAGCGTGATTGCCTCTCACCTCAGCAGGCCTGGGTTCAATCCCAGTTGGCGCCACCGGGATGTTCTGAGGCATTCAATCTCTGATCACGCCTTCTTTAAGGGAAGTAAAGGCGGTGGTCCCCGGTTCATGAGTTTATGAGTCGATAGGTAGGGTCCAGGTGTGGGAGCTGCCTCCCTGACGTCGGTAGCATTGGTGCTCAGCACGGAAAACAAGATCGACGGAAAACAAATCAAGAAAAAAAAAGAAAAACATGTTAGAACTTTTCATGACACAATTACTCTAAGCCAGAAGATATTATCAAGTTATAGACTTAGCCCAAGTAACAAATCTAGAGCTGCTTAAGTATATTCAAAATTTATAAAGGTTTTATTGCAGCTGCAACCATTACCTACAGCTTTATGAAAGTCATATACAATGCAAGTCATGGAACATTCTCATAGCTATCTACAAAACCCCTATAAAGCTAATTAAAAAACCAATTGATGCTTATGCTATTTTCACTTATGAAAGGTTTTATGATTGCCTTGAAGTATAAAAAAAAGCAGTATGAATTGCCTTTATAAAACCCAAAAATAAATTCTTTTATTGCTATATAAGTAAGCGCAATTAAACTAGTTGGCCATGAAACAGTTATTTAAAAACAATTATAAGCATTCAGTTGCAACTTGTCAAAAGTGTAAATGGGCGGTTAATTTTTACAAAATAGAAAGAATCAAAACTTTCCGGTACTTCCAAGCGGAGCGCA